CTCGGGGCTCCCCCGGGAAGGATGGCGCGGCCTCGACACCGTCCTGCCCGCCGCTGGGGTGGGAGGCCGGAGCAGTCCGGTGAGGCAAAACTCAGCCTCCCCTGTGGTGAATTCGTTTAGTCTCTCCTGCGACCCCACTGGTACTTCAGAGTTTGCCCGGAGCAAATAAAATAAAGCTCTGCCCAGATCGAATTAAATCGCAGTATCTCTTCGTGAGAAGGTGAACAAGAGGTGGAGGTTTTGTGCGGCTGCAACCGTTTAACCTTTTCTGCGCATGTTACAGAAAATTGTGGCAAATAGTGACCATCCTCTGTTCACTATATAATCAATAATCAACAGGACAATAATCAAAAGGATCTTCCTAGTTAAGCTGTTGATGTCAACGCTGTAAAGCTGTTGTAAGAATATGTCAGTAGTGGCCAAAGAGAGCCTGGGAGAGCAGCGTCGCAGCGGGCTTGTTCCTCTCCCTGTCACAGGTGCGGGTTGTGCCGACCCGCTGCAGCCTGCAGCGAGCTCCATTCCCAGCGCCTCTCCCCTGGGGCGGCCTTTCTGTTATCGCTGGATTCTCCCTAACTTTGTGTGTGAGTTTGGGAGGAGAAAGGAGGAAAATCAATGATAAGAAGGCAAGCCTGAAGGTACTTGTCTGGGAAGTGAAGAAGCTCCCAAATGCTGGAGGCCTGTTTCCTCAAGGAGAGAAAGAGCTTTTTTCTTTCCAATCAAGATATCAGCCAGCCAGGCTGTAGGATATATGTTTTTTCAGATTGCTACAACCCCAGAAATCTGGAGTCCTGTGCAGCCAAGCTTTTAGGCTACTTTGCCTGTCTGAGCACAGGTGATCTTCAGGCTTGCAGAATTCCTTATCCCCTTTTGAAAGAGGTGGAACTTGTGAATATCATGAGACTGTTGTTTCCCTTCTATTATGCATGTGTCATTATCTTTAAAATGTCATTTGTGGCATTCATGTTTCTCAGTGTCAACAGCCTTCTCTTAATATTGTGTCCTGGCAGACCTTTCATCTGAAGGGTGAATGGAGTTGTATTCAAAATCCCTGAAACGGGAGGGTCCTTGCATGGCTGATAGAAAGGCAGCATTGGACAGGAGACTGTTACAGACTGTTTCAAGAGAAAGGATTTATTACTTCTGTATTCTATGGTGGATGGTAAAAGTTGATGAATTGCCAAATTGATCTCTAATTTGATTTAGTAAGTGAAATGCAGAAACAAATTTTCCTCCATACCAAGCTCTAATAGAACCGTCACTAGTCAATGAAGAAATATATGATTTTCTGTGTAGAGATGCACAATATTGCATTCTTAGCTCAGTCACTGTGTCCTGTACACAGGAACTATCTTCTTGAAGCACGTTGGGACTCTTTAGACTCCATCCTCAGGGTGGCTTTATTTGAAGCTGCAAGAAATTTTGTTAGTGAAATAATTGCTCTGTAGAGTAAATTCTTCCTTGGCCCCTCGCAGGATAGGCTGCCCTAGAGGCTCCAGTTGTGTAAGGTAGCAAAACTCAAACTTGTATTTTGAACAGTATATGACAGAGTGGCAGGAAACCTGGATTAATTTGTCTCATTCCCCTTCAAGCAGCAGTGTGATACTTGTACGTGGTGGCAGTTCCCACCGAGTGGCGTGAGTACTGGCATGGAGCTGGGTTTGGTCCTCGGATAAGCTGCTTACCTGCTGTGCCCGAACAGGGCTGCGGTGCTTGGCCACACTTGCCGCTGGGCTAGTGATGCTTCAGGCTTTACAGAGAGTGCTGCTCATTACCCGTCAGGACAAGTTCAGCAGCCCCTGGCTGCCTGCTGTGCTTTACATCTGGATGGACTGGCTGTTTAACGCAGAGCTACGGCAGCCAGGCTGTGTCCAAGACCTCTCTTAGCGGCAGTCCCTTCGGGTTCCTGCCAGCGTAATCTTGGAGAAGGTGCTTGTTGGCCTAAGAGCACACTGGTCTAAGGGCAAAGTCTTGAGCGTGCTCCAGATGGAAGTGCCAGCTCAGCGAATGGCCATCCCTCCCTAGTACACTTAGCTACCCTATTTTGCATTTTTTTGGCATTCAAAATACACCAGCTGTGTAGCAACCTGCTCTTACATAACAGCTAAATGGGCATGTAATACATACACATCATAGCAATAAAAAATATTAATGTGAAAGGTTGTTGCACCAGTCCAGATTCCTGATCCTGATGCTGGTGCCCTAGTCTTTGTCAATGATGACACTGGGGTGTTTCGGAGGTTTCACTCAATGTAGTTGGGTGGAAGCTGCCGGGTAGGGATAGACATGGAAAGAGCAGTCTGAATCTGAAATTGCAGAACTGTGTCCTAGAACAGCCTGTCTCCTCTTTACGCTGTGCTGAGCGGGTGTTGTGTAGTGCCCACTCGTGCTAATGGCTGCAGTTTGATGTAGCCAGGGTCTTGCCACTTCATTTAGGAATTTTAGCTTGAAATAGGATCTTTGAGCCAAAACAGCATAAGGTTTCATTTAGAAGGGTGTGCACTTGCTCTCCCATGTTAATTATTTTCATAAATAGACAAAGAAATTGTAAAAATATTTTCCAAACCTAAATATTTCAGCATTGAGCTAATGCATGAGACTGAAAATGAATTTGATTTTCATGATCCAAGCCAGCTTGAGTACTATGTATAAAATATATTTTAAAAAATCTCAGATTATATCCTGTGCACTATGCAGACTTGTAATAGGGGTCTCTGTCTCTTGTGCTCACGTTAAGACATTAAGAGGTATTGAGAGGAAATCAGAGACATTGAAACTGAGGTTTTCTTTTTAACACTCAATCAATGGAATCAGAAATTGAATACAAATCTTTAGTGTATGAACCACCAGGATCTATTTCCCTTAAAACCAGTGAATAACTTTTTCCTCTAGATTTTTCAACCTCAGTTATTTTCTGTGGATTTTTATACAGCCATTTTTGCCTGCTCATTTGTTGTCTTGTGCTGATTTTCTTCTTTGGAAAACTTGTGATTGGCCCATATCTATACATGTTCTCAAAGCTGTCATTCCCTTCCTGTATTCTTTAAACCCAAGTTCTTCCTTCTATTGCATTATTTTCATATAACCTGGATATGTAATAGAGTTCAGAGTATTTGTATTCTTTTTGTAGGCTATTTGCACTGAGCCTGCTGAAATTCTATTGTCTTTGTAAAATATAAAATGGTATCTCAAAATTCACTTGGTGCAAAGTGTATTGTTATTATTATTACTTTGCCCTCTTTCCTCCAGCAAAACTGTTTATGTTTTTCCTTTGGGATTATTTAATGCTGTTTGCTTTTTCTCAGATGGACTTTCCATTCCCACTGGTAAAGAATGTGATTTGTTGATTCTAATAGAAAGGAAGACATATAACGTGTTCTGAAATTTTGGCTCTACTGGGATTCATGCCGAGGCTGCTTCTAAGTTCACATTTCAAACATTTATCTCTCTCTGCAGGAAAATCTGTTGTGACAAGTAGGCTTATAAAACAGACTTTTCTCTAGCCGCTTCCTTCTACCTACTGAAATAGAGATTTTTTTTCCATTTCTGGATTTAAACGCAGCGCTCTTTCTAGCTGCGAAACAAATAGGATAACAACAGCCTTAGCAGCTTTCACCATGAAAGATTTCAGAGTACTTATAAGTGGAACTGCTGTTTCTTAAATGCAGCCACCTCTGGGCAGAAATATGGTGTTCATTTAACTGTATTGATGCCACTCAGTTCTTCACTGAGGGTAACAAAGATTCTGAGGGTTTTTTTTTTGTGCTTCTCTTGGGTGAAATTATTTAATATGTTTGGACTTAAGTTTGGCATAGAAGAAGGTTATAGCAGCAAGTCATTACAGTGCCGTACAAAGGGACAGCTGCAGCCCAAGGACCTTGCTTTGCTGGACAGTTCTCCCTCCCAGGCAGATGGTGGTTCCCCAAAGCGAACCGCACCAAGCTGCTCCTGTTTCGTGAATGGCAAGACCAAAAACAAGCAGAGGCTGATACACTTGCTGAGACGCTGGTATCAACTGGCAAAGATAAATCAGCAGCCTAGTTAAGATGAGTGGATACTGTATTGATTGCATTGCACAAATGAAGCACAGAGAATGGAGGTGATGTTTCCAAGGCAACACAGGGAATCTGTCACACCTGGGAATGGATCCTCAATTGCCTGTTTCCTACTTGAAGGTTTATCTCCAGGTGCCCCTCTCTCTCCATTAGCAGGGCAACCTCTTATCTTTTGCAGTAGATGCAGTGTGTTTAAAGCAGTGCAGGAGGTTTAACGTGTTTCTTTGGCAGTACAGGTGAATGGGAAAAGATGGTGGTGGAGGGGTTTTGTGTTTCTTTTAGTGAGGTTAATTTACAATGTTGTCAGGTTCACTAGTGTCTGCATGTGAGCGTCAGTGTAGGTTTGTGATCAGAAGGCTTCATTTACAAGAGCTTCCTCAGAGCAGGCAGCAGGGTCACTGACAGCAAAATTTCCTGTAAAGAGTACATATAAGATTGTAAAAATTATTAAAAAAAAAAAAAGAGGAAAAAAGAGAACTCCCCACCAAACCTGTATTACATATGATCATAGCAGTTTTATTTCATTGCTTGCCTGAACATCCCTGAATTACACGGCAGTGAGAAATGATGTGGAATTGGAGAGCACTGCCTTTTAGCTTTTGAATCCTCACATCTACCATCAATGTCCTGAAAATGTTTTCTGTTAACATTCACCAAATCTTCATAGAATGGGCAGAGATTGTTTTGTATTTGCTGGCAGCTGTGATCAGAGACTAATTGCTTGCTTGGTTTATGCGGTTTAGTTCCCAGGGTACTATATTCAAAATCTAGCTGACAAGCTGACCATATGGTGCTACTGTATAAAAGCAGGGTTGACTATTGCATCTGAAAGTTTTTTCTTTCATATTTGTGTTACAGTTTAGATTTGAGGGCTCATTCTTGGGGCTAAAGAGTGGGGTCTACATGAGCTAATATAACAAAAATATGTGAGGGATGCCTAGGAAATGTGCGTGAGTAGGGAATTGGTCTCTGAGATCTAGAGTTCTTCCTAGTAAATGACTGTTCTTTTTCCCCACAGTCAGGAACTGAGTTCCACTTACTCTTCTCTGGAGAGTTGTTTGAAATCACAGTCGGCAGTCCTGTATACTTAATGGTGTCTGAATTCATGTCTATGAACTTGAGTCATATGTGCGTGACTTAACCTTGTGCAGCTCTCTAGTGCTTCCTTTTCCACCCACATTAAAGCAAGCAGTACTCAGAGATACCTTTTCCCTTTAGTAAATCAGACCTTTCATTTAACAGCTTAAATATGGATTTCAACAGCTTTTTTATTATTATTATCTGGTGAAATCATAACAGTCTGCAAAGGTTAGGTCACTGTTCTTGTCCTTGTTTCACATGTGGGTCAGCTGAGGCATGGAGATGAGTTAGCTTGGAGGTAGCTGTCTTGTTCTTTCTTACCACAGGCTGTGTTTGCTGCACTGTGCTGTCTCTCACCTGCAAAAAATGCAGGTTGGGTTCCAAGTTGGAATTTAAACAGAGCTACAGGACTGTCCTGTCCCATTGCTTTTGCTGAGCTGTGGGCTATCTAGTTGAATTTATCTGGATGATTTCAAACTTCTAAATGAGGTATGGAGCGAACTTTGTTGTGCTCCTGTCAAGGCAAACTGACAAGACAAACAGCTTTTAAGTCAATAATGATTTGAATAAAAATGTGAGAAAGGAACTGTTGGTTAAATGGGCTAATTTAAATGCTTTTTGTGTGAGATGCTGCCCATGAGTCCTCATAGCATTGCTTCTTTCTTGACATTCTTTATGTCACCTTCCACTGCTTTACTGTGAAGTCCAAAGTCTTACAGCCATTGGGTGCTTTTCCTTGATGAAACCTGAGAGAGGTCACTGTAAACCTCTTTTGGGATGTGTGTCTGAGCGGCTCAGAAATTCTTTGCGCTTAAAAAAGCATAATGAAAGAGTGCATGGCAATGCATGGTCTTGTTTAACAAGCAGAAGTAATCACAGAAGAAGGCAAGGGATGCATTGTATAAAATGGTTTGCATAAGCTTTTGGGACTTGTGCTGAATAAGTTCTCTAGAGGCTGTTCTAGGTGCTCTGAAATAATTCAACCTTTTAGGGAGTCCACTGCAAATAGACCTGTGCTTTTTTAATACTCCCACAAAAACATACTTAGTTTTGTCCTGTTTCTTTTCCCTTTTTGCATGCTTTTGTCCTTTCCTCCTTGCAGTTAGTGACTCTCGGGAGTTGTCAGTTTTCTAATGGTGGGGAAAGGGCAGGCAAAGGTTGAAAACGAAACTCCCAAGTTCTGAGCCAGTTTGTGTTAGTATCTTACAAACACTTCTTCTTGCTTTTTTTTATTTTAGGTAAAGCAAATCATGGAAGAAGCTGTCACCCGGAAATTTGTACATGAAGACAGCAGTCACATCATCGCCTTATGTGGTAAATGACACGTAATGGAGCTAACTCTAAATTATCTTAGTTTTCTTATCATTTTCTCTACATCTGCAGCTTCTTTGTGTACATTGCAAGTAAGAAGGAACGCTTGTTAAAATGGCATTATCCAAATAAATGCCAAGCCAAAATTACAAGGAGATATGTTAGGAAGCAGTTGTAACTTAAAAATACACATATTTAGAGATATGTGGATATTAAGTTACTACCTAGAAAGTACGTGGCAAAAGATCAAGCTTTCACAACCATGAATTAATGTCTGGCAGCTCCCGTCCAGCTGAGAGTCCTCAAAGAAACCAAACCTTGAAGATAATGTAATTTATATCAAAGGCAGCTGGTGTTTCAGAACTGTGTACAAGGGTAAAAGTCTGCATAAATTCCAAAGTTTGACTGCCTGGTCCTTACAGATTTAGGCTGAGATGTGCACTGTGGTAACGAGAGTGGAGCAGGCCTGGTCTAGTGCAGGGTTCTCAGAAGAGCTGCACTAATGAAAATTCATACCAAGCACTCCTGTGAAGACTTAGCCACTTCATTTAGGTGCCTAAAAAGGAACTGATGGATGTTGGTCCAACAGCTGTGTCATCCAGTCTATAATTTGCTGGGGATAATAAAAAATTAACACTATCCATCAGACTTTGGCATGTATATAAAGAAAAAGGGAAAAATATCACAAGAAGGTCCTGCTGAGAATTAAAGCTATATATAATTGCAAGGTGTGTTGGTCTGTGAATTCTTGGCTGCTTTTTCCTGATACTTCAAATCTAAGGCTTGGGACCAATGCTCGAAAGCGATTGGAGAATAGCCATCTAAATGCTTCTCCTGGATTTCACAGGCTGCAGGATTTGCAGTCAGACATACTGTAAATAATAGTAGAGACCTTAAGAGTGAAAGTTAGATTTGTCTTTGAAGACAGATAGATTGTTTAGAGAAATAGGAATTGACACATGTTGTTGAAAGCAAAATTTTGAGAACAGCAACGTTTTCCTGTTGCAACATTCAAACTCCGCTCTGCTCTGCTCTGCCTGTTTATTAAAGTATGCTAGGGCTAATGTTACCCTGGGATTCCTGGTAATTCCAAGATATTTTTTACTTGCAGCTTAGGTTAAATTATTCATCCTTACATATTCTGTGCAGAATGCAAGACTTGACTGTGTTGTCTGGTTAATGTCTTACTGCTGTTAATATAGGCTGTACTTTTCCTTACCTTTCTCCCAAACTCAGCTGACTTTGGTATTTTTTTTTTTAATGAAGTCATCTATATAAGCTGAATACTAAAATTCTCTAAGACTGGGGACTTTGAAAGCTTATCTATAGGGTTTACACCTGTACATTATTTTCTCTTTCTCTTTTTAGTATCAATTTGTGTTTGAAGGAAGACTTCCCAAACTTTCTGTGTGAATGATCAAGTTTTGTTATGTGTACACCCTACTACTGCTTCCTGCGTTTAGGTTTGCATTATGTGAAATAATCTCCTTTTCTCCCCTCTGTAGTATAATAAACAATAGGTAAATATCAACGGTGGAAAATGGATCTGAGATAGGAACAGGAGAAGAAACCCTCTTTCTGTCCCCTTGCTACCGACTGTCTATTTGATATGGATGACTCTTAGTTTTGTTGTGTGTCTGGTCTCTGTCTTTGAATTTGCATTCTGTAAGATGGGCTGCAGGGTTGATGTAAGGGGTGGTGGGGAGGCAGCTGCTTCTGTTAAAATCTGCTTGGCCAAAATTAGCAGTACCATAAAAACATCTTAGTATTTCTCCCTTCCCGCTGCCCTGATTTTTGTGCTCTGAATTGTGTAGGGTTTGCAGAATCATTAACTCTTCATGAACTGCCCCACTGTTGCCCAGCAAAATTAGCCCAAGGAAGCATTCCAACTTACAGAAAGGTTGCTGCTTTGCATATAAAAGTTAATTAACTCTAAAACAGAAATAGGTGAAGCTGAATGTTCTGCTACGAGTTTAGCTAACTGAATGAAGAAACTCTAGATTTGGCTGTTTCTGGCTGAAGTTGTCTTGCGTGTGCAGTTCTTTTCCCTTTCCCAGCCCGGTTTCATGTGCCTCTTCAAGAGGTTTTTCCCATCTATTTAAAATTAGATTGGCTCTGTCTGTGAGTCACTTTCAGCGGATCTTCATCATAAATATAGAATTCTTATGAATCATCTTACTTTCCTGCAAGGCTGAATTTAGCAAAAGGCTAAAATGCATAATAGTTGATTTTCAGTAACTGAAATTTTCCTCACTCTTCTAGATCTAAAATGACTACAGGTATCACTAGGAATGAACTAGTGGCTACTACTTTTCCTGCATCCTTATGTTCTTCTTTCTTACCGTACATGGAGTTTGTAAGTACAAAAATGCCATGGCTGAGAGAGAAGGGGCAATTCTCACTGTCCAGCCCCATGCAACTCGGCCCCTAAGCTCTAACTGAACTTAGCTACATTAACTGTTAAACTGCCTCAGTAAGAGAGTTATTCCTGTAGGATTACTGCAAGGTAGAGGCTGTCTATCTTTCCTCATAGGCTATGATTAGACCTTGAAATGTATATTCATAGTCCTGGAATCAACCTATACAATGCAGCTGACCAGAACAGCAGCTCATGTCGTGTGGGGTTCAGTTGCAAGTCTGAGTCCACTGGACCTTATAGAGATAAGTTAGCATCCACTTGGTAGGAGGCTCCTTTTCCTTCTCCAGTGTGACCCTAGTGAAATTATGGAAATGATATTTGTTAAGACGGGAGACAGGCTCAGCAGAACCTCTTTAAAAAGCTGAGCATGGAGTGATATGCTGTGGAATCACTGAGCTCACCTTTGTGAGATCCTAAAGGAAAAGCCAATCTTGGGATCCAGAGGAGCACTTGCTGATTCCTGTGGAATAACCTCTCTGTGCAGGTCGCTTGAATTTTACTCCAGTGGGAGAGATTTGCTGTGACCATGATGATACCGTTTATAATCTCAGGTCTTCTCCTGCATGATCTAAGAGATCGAAAACAGTGTTGATGTTTTTATCCTTGTGTGGAGAGAAAAAAAAAGAATGCAGATGTTTTTGTATTTGTTCTCAGCCCGGTTTGTAACCTAGTTACATTCCAGTTACTCTTCCATTCCATCTGATTTCTAAATTTCTAAAAGCTTTAGTTCTATGATTCAGAACAACAGTAGTTCATTTTATACTAGGTGTAATGTGGCTAATATGTGCCATACTGGGATGACAGAAAGTAAAAAAAGAAAAGGGGGGGGGGAACTTTTGAAATAGAGCAAAGCCTCCCAACTATCTGCAAAATCCTTCTGAATTACACTGGGGAGAGAAGGCAGTGATGCCACCCCTTAAGTGTTTGCTTTCTTTTACTCACAGTGCTTGAATGGACGGTGGCAGACAGGCGGAATGAGTCAGGCTGGAAAAATATAAGTGTTTTTCTGCACCTGGATTAAGAAAACATTCTTTTTGGAGTAAAAACTCCACATATATCATATGAAAGGCCTCGAGAATGAAATAGAAATCCTGTGGATATGGTGCAAACGCATTTTCACTTACAGTAGGGTATTCCTTGTCTGCGCGTTTGGGGATGGATAGGTGTTTGTATAGGCTTTTACTATTTTTAATAGTACAGGCTATCAAAGGAGTTTGCAGAGAAGTATGAGACTGTGATAGAGAACTACTGTAAGGATATGTATTTTAGCAGCATTTTAAAGAAGAATGAGAGAAAACACAGTGTGCTCTCTTACCGAGGCCTTGGGTCTCTTTTGGTCACTGCTAGAAGCCCAGAGACCTTTAAAATGCTTGTTCTAGCTTTAAAGACTTGTTTTTATACAGGGTATTCAATTTATAGACTGCACATCAGCTGACAGGAAACCTGTTCACTTACTAATGCTGATGCTTCTACTTCATCATGCTGTAGGGATTTCATTCAGCTGTCTCATTCCCTCATCTATTTGCTTCTGAAGAATAGTCCTGAGCAGATAAGATTAGGCTAAATTAGCAGACATAGTCTTTGAACTTGAGCTCATTTCTTGGTGGGTTTTCCTCCCTCTTAGGACTTCCTTTCTGCAGCAGGATGCTTTAATGTTAGATCCACTGGGGAACAAATGACCTTAGACATATATTTGCTGCCAGGCCCTATTTAATACACTTGAAGGCTGAGTGTGTGCACTGTCTCTCTCTGTCTCTGCAGCAATATTCCTGTAGAGAAAGCTAAATTGATGGTTTGTTACTAGCCTACTTCAGATATGCTGCTGTTATAACAACTACTTTATAGGAGCTGGGGAGAAATCACCCTGAGTTGGTGAGTGATCACACTGGCATGTACAATTTACAGCATATGGAGGCAGTCCATAAGGACTTTGCTCAAGCAGGATTTGCAGTAGAGATCGTGAGTGTATGGGAGGAGACAAGAGTGAGATCAGGATTTTAGGTAGTCATAATGTCATTAAGTGCACCTTGAAATGAGCTTTCCATCAGCACTGTTGACCACTCTTAGCTGGGACAGGGCTGTTGAACTCCTTTCCTTCCCAGCACTGGCAAGGAAAGGCTCTGTATTGTCTAAAGGCTGTCCTTTTAATTTTTTTCCTTTGTTTTTAGTGAACCAGAGCTGAAATCTTCTTTGATTAGAATTTGTGCACAATCCCAAGTATGAGACTTACTCGAATATTCGTGATAGTGGATGTGTGTTTCTGCGGGGAGCCGGGTGCGGATGTTTTTAGCCTGGGTTATCTGGTGCCGTTTCCTTAGTAACAGTAGCTGACACTGTTTTGCGTATGGACCGTGCCTTACTTGTTCAGATGCATGCCTTCTCTGCAAGCCAGGAAAAATTGCCAGGGCTCTTTCTCCATTATTTATTTCACCAGCTTCCCCAAAATTTGGGTGAGTGGTGGTGTTCTTACCAGGCGTTCTAGCTTTTCTATTTGAGGGGAGAAGGTGAGGTGGGGAAAAGCTTTTGTTTTGTCTATCTCTGCTGAGTCTCAATGAGCTGAGTCTCAGTGAGTAAAAAAGCTGTC